CTGAGACAAGAGGATCACAAGTTTGAGCCCTTCCTGAGCAACTTGGTGAGATCCTATCTCAAAATACAAAATTTAAAAAAGGGCTGGGCATGTTGTAGCTCAGTGCAAAGTCCCTGAGTTCAATATTCACTACCCCCTCCAAAAGAAAGATGAGACAGTTGCCAGTCCAGTGTTATGGCAGATGTTAAAGTATCAAATAATAATAATAATAATAATAATAATAATAATCCACTCAGAATTTGTGATGTACCTGGTAACACTCAAAGCACCTGACATGTGTTTAGGTCATGTACTTCTCACGATAACCCATGAAGCGGATACTATTATTAGCATCTTAATTTTAGAGATGAGGTGACTGAATAATAAGAAGGTCAAGAAAGTACCCAATCACAGAGCTAGTAAATACCAGAGATGGGATTCAAACCCAGACAGTTAGGTTCTACAGTGCAGCCTTAACCCAAAACCATACCGCATATGAGTGATTGTTTAAAACTCTGCTCAGTTTACAAGATTTTTTAAAAGAAAAAAAGGGAGCAGGGGAGATAGTTCAGTGGAATAAGCACTTGCCTGGCAAGCGCAAGGACCTGAGTTCAAGCCCCGGTTCCGTAAAAAAAAAAAAAAAAAAAACCTCTACGGAGATTTAACTCACATACATATTCTATATTCATCTACTTAATATATACATTCTGAGCTGGGCATAGTGACCTCTACATGAAATCCCAGCTGCTCTAAAGGCTGAGGCAAGAGGATCAAAAAGTCAGGGCCAGCCAGTGCAATTTATTTATTTTTTTAAATTTTTGTTTGTTTGTTTGTTTTTTGTTTTGCGGAACTGGGGATTGAACTCAGGCCCTTGCGCTTGCCAGGAAAGCACTTATTCCACTGAGCCATCTCCCCAGCCCGAGCCAGTGCAATTTAGTGAGACCTGTCTCAAACTTTCAAAAGGGCTGAGATGCAGCTCAGTGACAGAGTACTTACATGCCCTGCAGGAGGGTTCAATTTCCAATACCACAAAAAATAAAAATAAAATGTATATTCCAATTATTTTTAAAATTTTTTTTATTTATTTGGTACAGGGTCTTGCTACACAGCTCAGACTCAGAGTGATCCTTCTGTCTCGGCCTCCCCAGCACTGGGATTATAGGTATGCGCCACCACACCTGGTTCTGGGGTTGGCCTGACACGCCTGAGGTCCCAGGGCTGACAAGGCATGCAGCACTGAGGATCAAACTCTAGTCCTTGCACTTGCCAAGCTGTCTAAGCTGAGCTATCTCCCAAGCCTCCAAACATTTTAAATGTGTTCTGAGCTGGGCAATTTTCATTACCCCTCAAAAATCTCCATAACAGGGCCAGCGAGATAGCTCAGTGGTCTAAAGTACCTGCTTAGGCAAGTGCAGGGACCATGGTTTGATCCCCATACCGTAACATGCTGTGCCAGCTCCAGCCCTGGGTTGAGCTGGAGACACACACACACACGCACAATCTCCATAACCGTCAGTAGTCATCCCTTATTGCTCTCATCTACACATTCTTTTTTTACCACTACTCCTTTAGTTTACAAAATTCTAACTCAACAATCCCCCCCCTTTTTTTCTTTTTGAGACAGGATCTTACTATGTAATTCAACTGGCCTTGAACTCACTATGTAGCCCAGGCTGGCCTTGAACTTCATAATTCTCCTGACTCAGGCTCCTGAGTGCTGGGATTATAGCCATGTATCACCATGCCCAGCTCCTGCACCCCAGTCTGGCTCTCAGTATGTAACACGGGCTGCCCTTAAATTCGTGATCTTCCTGTCTCAGCCTATCAAGTGCTGTGATTATAGGCTTGTGCCACAATGCCACCCAACCTTTCTTATTTGTTCCCATTTATATACCTACCTTCCACTCCTATGAGTAGCTTACAATCAAACTTGGATCTATTTCAAAATACACTCAGAGCTCCCCAGAAAGCTTCATCTTTGGTTTTCTGGATGTAGATAATGGCACATGCCTATAATCCCAGCACTCAAGAGGCTGAGGCAAGGAGGATCATTGTGAGTTCAAGGCCAGCCTCCTGGACTACAAAGTGAGTTCAAGTCCAGGCTGAGCTGCATAGCAAGACCCCGTCTCAAAATGACAAAAAAAAAAAAAAAAAGATGTGGATAATAACTAACAATGATGGATTATAATACAATCCTACATGCACCTATTAAATACAGCATGTATTCAACACAACCAGTACAAAAACTGGAGTCAAAAATAGTAAACATGCTCCCTGACTTCATCTTCAAGATTTCTGTACCACTTACATATTTATTAAAAAATGCACTCACTTTCAGTATACTTTATAAAAGTAGCACTTATTAAAGGACAAATTAAAATGTATCGGGGCCGGGTAGATGGCTCAGTGGAATAAGCGCTTCCCTGGCAAGTGCAAGGGCCTGAGTTCAATCCCTGGTTCCGCCAAATAAATAAATAAATAAAATAAAATAAAATGTATCTCCAACAGTTGGAAAGCTGAGACAGGAGGACCATCACAAGTTCAAGGCCAGTCTGAGGTACATAGTGAGACCCTGTCTCAACAAAAATAAAACAAGTAACATGTATCTCCATAGTGAGAAACTTGCCTAGCACTGGACCTGATAACTTTCAATCCAGTTCCACTAAGATCCCAGTAAGCACCTGATAAAAGCCATCTATGATAAACCTACAGCCAACATCATCCTAAATGAAGAGAAACTGAAAGAAATCAGGAACAAGACATGTCTGTTACCACCACTAAAGTTTTTGAAACATTAACCAGAATAAGTGTGTATGTATGTATGTATACATGTATTTAATACAGGGTCTACAGGGCCTCACTACATAAGTCAGGGTCGTAGTGATTCTCCTGTTTACAGCCTCCCAAGTGCTAGGATTACAGGCGTGCGCCACCACTCCCAGTCTCAGTTGCCATCTCCGCGCACCCCAAGGGTGGGGCTGGCATGGCACATGGGAATCGAACCCCAGCTGCTGCACTCTGTCTAAGCAGCAGCTTTAGTCCACTGAGCTATCTGGTTGGCCCTAACCAGAACAAGTAGACAAAAGAAAAAAAATAAAAGGGTTATGGAGAGGAAAGAAGTTAAATTATTAGCAGATGACATGACCCTCTACATACAGACCCCAAAAATTCTAGCAAAAAAACTTTCAGAATTAATAACAAAATTCAATAGCATAGCAGATACAAAGTAAAAAATGAAAAATATTCCTGTATATCAATAACATACTAGGAGAAAAAGTAAGGAAACAGTATCTTTCACAATAGCATAAAAAACATTTAAATATTTAAGAATTAACCTAACCATGGAAATGAAAACCCTATACAATGAAAGCTACAGTACTCTGAAAAAGGATCAAAGAGGATATCAGAAAATGGACATATACCCATGTTCTTAGATAAGGAGAAAAAAAGTCAAAATGGCCATACTTCCAAAACTGTTATACAGATTTAACACAATCCCAATCAAAATACCAGTAGCTTTTCTCACAGAACTAGAGAAAAAAAAAATCCCTAATATTCTCTTGTTTTTTGCTATGGGGACTCAAACTCAAGACCTTGTGTTTGCCAGGCAGGCACTATGACATTGAGCTATATGCCCAGCCCACAATCCCTAATATGCATACAGAGCCAGAAGGGACCTAGAATAGCAAAAACAACTCTGGGCAACAAGGGGAAAGCAGGAGGCATCATGAGCCCAGACTTCAAGTTATAATGCAAAGCTATAGTGATTTAAAAAAAAAAAAAATCACAGTATTGGGAAAAAATGTGAATTAATAGAATAGAATTGAAGCTACAGAAACAAACTGAGGAATGAACACTCAGCTACCTTATCTTTGACAAAGGAGCCAAATATTTTCACTGGAGGAAAGGTAGTGGTGCTAGGAAGACTGGTTACACATATGCCAAAGATTGAACCCAGATCCATTTCTCTCACCACACAGTAAACTAAAATTAAAATGGATCAAAGACTGAAATATTAAAACAGAAATAATAGCAGGGTGTGGTAGTATGTTTATAATCCTAGCAGCTAAGAGGCTGAGGCAGGAGAATCATCATGAGTTCAAGGCCAAGTCGACTATATAGCAAGACACTGTCTCAAAAAAAAAAAAAAAAA